CCACTGAGTGCATGCCTCGTGCTACGCTCTTTGTAAGTAGATCTCATTTAACCATTTTGTCCCATCATCCCAGGCGGAACTTGCAGAAAACTTAAATACAGCCAGACGTGATGGGGCATGCCTGTAAATCCCAGTGACTCGGGAGGCCGAGGCAGGAGGATCCTGAGTTCAAAGCCAGCCTCAGCAACTTAGAGAGGCCCTAAGCAACTCAGTGAGACCCTGTCTCTAATAAAACATAATAAAAAGACCAGGGATGTGGCTCAGTGGTTAAGTGCCTTTGGGTTCAATCCCTGGGACCAAAAACTGTAAAGATTTATAAGAGTATAATAACATAATTATAAATAACAACTGATATCTTAAGTAGGCTCCGAATTATGACTCCCAACCTTATTTCAATGCATCTATGTCGATTCCATTGCAATATTGCAACAAGAAACACACAGGATTTAATGGGGTCACTGCATCTTCCTCGTCAAGGCCTTTGAGATTCAGAGATTCAGAGTAGGCAAGGGACTTTCCCAAGGATGCACAGTTAGTGTGCATCCTTGGGACCTGGATATGAAGCAGAGTCAACCTGACTCCAGAGCCTGTTTCCCTTCTTGAAGTTAGAGTTCCTTTTGAGGAGGGGCCAGCCTGAGTGCCCCGCTCTGGTCATCTAGCATCCACTGGCTTCAGACATCAGCTCATCTTTTCCAAGAGCCGGGATGCAGTTCAGTGCATCAACCGTCTCTAACTTGGAGTCCACTATGGTCATTGGTAGATGACTGAGGCTGGCCAGGAGACCGTGGCCAACATGGCTCCGTGACCCTGGAACCCATGGCCTTGGCTGGACCTATCCAGGCCAGCCGGCCAGCTCCCCTCAACAGTCAGGATCTCCCTTATCAGCCATACCTTCTTCACATGCATCAAAGAGGTGACAACTGATTTGGGGGGAAATTCCAACTTTAAATCTACGTGCAAAAGGAAAAGGTTGGTTATTAACAAAACATAAAAAAAAAAATTTATAGAGGAAAAACCTCTGAGAGCTGCTTTGCTCTGATATGCTCTGGGTCCTAAGGAAGCAGGAAAAAGTCTCTTGGAAACTTCCTAGGACCAGCACGCGGAAACGGAGTGGATGCTGGTCAATGAAATGCTAACGGCTTGGTCCTACGTATTGATTGACTGCACAAACATTGAGAATGAGACGTGCACACTCATAAAGGCTGCAAGACAGCCAGCTTCTGTTCTTTGATTCTGTGCAGATGATGAAACCAAATCTCAAACCCCAGATGGAAGCACATTGGGCCCCAGGTAGCAATGGAAAACCCAGAAATTTAAAGAAGAAGGAACTAATGGCTTTTCTTGGGTGCCTTTTCTGAAGACTAAACCTCGCCCCACTGGGTTACATGACCATCTACCTCCCGTGTCCTCATGAACCGCAGAACCCAAGACCCCTAGAAATAACCGGGAGGACAATGTCCCGTTTTGCAAACGGGGACATCTGAGATTCCGAGGGGTGAGGTGGCTTGTTGAGGACGGGCACTTGTTAGAACACGTGATCTTAGAAGTTCAACTAGGCGGGGAAGGTTTTGACTCAGGGACCAGGAAGGTGAGGTTCCAGCTCCAGGGCCATTAATGCCTCTGTTTGTCCAAAGTCTAAACGTTGGACTCGGCTGTTTTGAAACATCCTTCCCTCTCCAGAGGGGCTGACTGGGTGCGCGTGAGCATCTGCTGTCTGCTTGCTGGTCGTCTTGACAAACTCAAGGGCTTTCTTTCATTAAGAGGCAGACTTTGTGGTGGTAGCAAGGGTCGGCTCTGAACTCAGGCTTTTTGTCTGGTGATCCCAGCTCTGATGCTTATGGGTGGCAGAAAGCCAGAAAACAGGAAGCCTTCTAAGCCTCATCTGCAAAGCAGAGGTTGTAAGAGCATTTACCATGCACGGCCAAGACGATGCTTAAATACCAGTGGCCTGGGGCATGGTGGCACGTGCTCCGGTAATTGGAGCCTGCTGATGCCATCACCGTAAAGCGCCCAGGGAATGTGCCCATGTGGGTTACAAGAAGACAGAGGCAGCCCAAATGCTGAGGCCCAAATGGCAGGATCTCCGCTAGGACTGTGTCTGGCTGTAAGGAAAGGCATCCGGAACCATTTCCCACCTTCCCTTGCTAAGAGTGGTAGCCAGCGCTCTGTGCTTGTTATCCCATAGGGCTTCTAGGAAGCTCTTCTGAGAGGCGCTGACTTAGAAACACTCATTCTTTCCCTGGTCGCCTTTCTGTGTGGAATGCAGAAGCAACGGCTAGATTGTCTGCAGCCTGTTTTGGTCATGAGGGAAGGGCCAAAAACCTTTCAGAGATTCAGTCAGTCCTTCAGCTAAATCAATCAATGCCAGCAACCACGGACCTCCACTTCTCTTGTTTCATGAGGAAACTAAACCTGTTTCCGCCTTTTTGCTATGATCAAAATGCAATTCCCAACCAAAACACCCTCCACAATGAACTTCTCATTTCTGTCCACATATATTTGTGGGTCTGCTCAGCCAGCCACTTGCCCTATCCGCTTGGGGGTTCTGAGAGAGGTGCTCACTTAAGACTCTGACAACAATTTCCAAATAGTTCTCAAAGGCCAAGATACCTAAGGGGAAGACAATGGCTTAGCAGCTTTAGTGTCACCAAGGAGCTTGTCAGAAATGGAGAGCATTCAGGCCCATGCTAGACCTACTGAATCAGCATTTACATTTTAACAGGATCCCCAGAGACTTTGGGGGCACACACAGTTTGAAGCACACTGCCTGAAGCACAGGTCTAAGGATATCATCACTCTCCCCCCAAACCTTCAATGACCCCTTCTTATTTACAGACTAGTTTGGGCTCCTACGTAGCCTGACATCCAAGGCCCCTTGTGATCTTGCATGGTCCTAGAAATGGCCATCAAAGTGTCCATCAGGCATGTCTTATTGGGCAGGCAAGAAATGATTCTCTGTATATTAAAAAAAAAATGAGTACCCGAGAAACACCATGTTCCCTGATTCTGGCTTTACCATGCTGCGCACTGGCAAAACAGTGCAACCCAAACACAAACACACACGCAAAAACAGCCAGACATGGTCCCTGCCTTCAGGAAGCTTGGAGACTTGTAAGAAGAAATAAAAACACCTGACAAATTCTAAGAGCTGGAAGGAAATGAACAGGGCTGCAGGGTGACCCTCGCTGGTCAGAAAGATGGCCCTGAGGCTAGGAACCGGGTGTGGAGCTGGTCCAGTGAGACTAGCGCCCTGCAGGACGAATTCCGCGTGGCTAAGGGGCAGAGCAAGGGGCTGCTGGCTCAGGCTTACCCAGCAAATAGATATCCGGGGAGGAAAGTAGCAGGTTTCACTTAAAGAGAACAGGCTGGGTCTCTTTCCTGGACGTCTGTCTGTCTTCAGCGGGCTCACTGATGTAACTCGGAGTGCGCACGCTGCAGAGCCGCTGGGAGTCCAGCCCTGGAAATCCAACCAAGTGAGATTGGCATCCCAGCACTGCTGCTCCTCGGCTCTGCCCGCCCCCCTTGCCCCTGATGTCCCTTGTCAGGGATACAGAGGGGTTCAGAATGCAGCCAACTCCGTAGTTATGGTTGGGGGGACGCTTGTGAAGCTCCCAGCACCCTGCCACCCACAGCAGGGCTCCCGGGAGTCCCAGCGGGCTTGGGATTCCCATGAGTTTCACCACCGTTGATTACCACCAGCTTTCGGAGGGTAGCTTGTCCCCGTGCTCCCGCCCCCGAGGCCTCCCCGACCCCACGGTGCCGGGCGGCCTCCCCCGCTCACGCCCGGGTGACCCCTGCGCGCCGCCGCCGCCAG